TGATGAATTGAATCAGTCAATTGACCTCTCGGTCGAAGTTGGACTTACCTAGTCGGACTATTTGTCCCAGGTAAACGTACTCGTCAACAACTTCGAGCTTAGTGCTCCCAACAACTACCGGCATAGGTGTGACATGGACAGGGTCATTGATCCTAGTGCTTAACTCCTCCAGCGATTCTGCCATAAGGACTATATCGTCGGCAAATCGAAGGTGAGTGATATACTCGCCATTGATGTTAATACCGTATCCTTTCCTGTCTAGAAGCTTGAAAACATCTTCCAATGCAGCGGTGAAGTGTTTCGGGGAAATAAAGTCACCCTGTCTTACACCTCTCTGCAGTTGAAAAGGTTTCGTACTCTGGTTCTGTACTCGGATAGCCATCGTAGCCCTTCTGTACAAAAACTTCAGCACTTCAATATACCGACAGTCAACTCGGCACCGCTAAATAGACTTTAGCACCGCCCTAATTTCGACGGAGTCAAAGGCTTTCTCATAGTCCACATACGCCAGGCAAAGTGGCAGATTGTACTCTTCGTACTTCTGTACAATTTGTCGTATGGTATGTATGTGGTCTATGGTACTAAAGCCTTTTCGGAAACCGGCTTGTTCGAGAGGCTGGAAGTCATCGAGTCTGCGTGCGAGGCGATTCGTAATGACTCTCGAAAGCAGCACGTAGACGCGGTTTAGAAGGGATATCGGTCTGTAGTTCTTTAAGAGGGCGTTGTCACCTTTCTTGAAGAACAAGACCTCCGCACTTCTGCTCCACGCCTCCGGAGTAGTGCCACCACGGAAGACGGAATTAAAGAGCCTCTGAAGGACTTCAAGTACCGGTTTTCCACCCGCTTTCAAAAGCTCCGCTGTAATTACGTCCTCGCCCGGGGACTTGCCGTTTTTAATGTGCTGGAGAGCCCTTCTAATTTCTCACAGATTGACGTACGGGATGTCATCGGAATAGTGTCGGATAAGACTTGCTCTTGGATCGTTACTCATACTTGCGTGTGGCTCCAACGATGATGTGTACAGCTGCCCATAGAACCTCTCAATCTCACTCAGAATCTCAGGTGTCTGGGAAACGATGCTGCCACACTCAGTCTTCAGCTGTGACAGTTGGCTATTTCTGGCAGACAGATCTCTGGCAAAGACTTCGGAGTCCTGGTTCCGCTCGATCGCTTCTTCAATACGAGCAGTATTTAAGTTGCGCAAGTCTCGCCGCATGCATTTGGAGATCTGTCTGTTCAATTGCCTGTATGCTGACCAATCTTTTGACGATTGCAGCCTCATCTTCCGTCTAACAGCCATGAGATTAAGAGTGTGATCGGAGAGTTTTTGTGTTCTTCTGCGGCGGGTCTTGCAGAACTTAGCTCCAACCGCATGGACAGTTTCCACGAGCTTGTCATTCATATCGTCCACTGCATTGCAATCTTCTAGGCACTGAAAGCGGTTACGTAACTCGAGCTGAAAAGTTCGGGATTCTGATAGAGCACGGGGGGATGGAGCGTTGACTTCATTAGACTAGACCTCTCCAACTTAACGTTCAGGTTCAGTGTGCCTCTAACCATTCGGTGATCGCTGCCAGTTTTCACCCTTGCGATAGATTGTGCCTCTGCTCATTTCACTGGGAGTGTTCGACAGCACTTTGATAAGTTTGGAGAGCGCTGGATCGACCGCGGCGGCCCTGCCAAGTGTCAGCTCAGCTTATTTGACGCCTCTTGGTCTTTTTTGTGGGGACGTATTGAATCGTTAGTTTATTTTAGAGAGACAATAAATGCTGAGGATGTAAAAAATAGGATAGTGAACGCTTTTGGAATAGCAAAAATAACTCTGAAGTGTTTTAAAATATCTATTAAGAAAACTGGCATTAAAATGTTTTCAATAAGATAGTGGGAATTTTGAAATTGTATTAAAATACAACATTGCATGAGTGTTCATACGTGGTAGAGCCATGCTGCAGTTTTATTAGTAGTATAGTTGTAGCACGAATGAGCTGGCTCGACCGGGAAAGGACCACGCTCTCACAGAATACCAACGTAAAATAGTAGCTTAATGCTGCTGTGTTACGTATGGTGAGTGTAGAGACCCTTTTTACTGGAAACGAGGCATTCAATCTTCGTCCACCCGTGAGGACGCATCGAGGACAACGCATCTGCATTTTGATTTGTAATCGAGGATAGATGTAGATGTCTATGGGCCGCAGCAACCACTTACCATCAAGTGGACAGTGTGCTCATTTGTCACCCTATCCTATAAAAAAGGCTATCAGTAAGTTAAGTATTTGAGTTTATATATTATTGTAAATATCTTGATTCACATCCTTTAAAAACACCATCTTTGAATTATGTTGTCGTATCGCCTAATTATTTATGCAGTTCATTATTATTTAGAATTACAATTAAATTGTTATGATAATTATTAACATTTTGTAAAGAATTATTGCCTATTGACATTGAATCGTCAATAAACAAAATTATTCAGGGTCGAAAGTCCAAAGCATGAAAAGTGTTATGGAAAGATGCAATGTTTACTAGAGTTAAACAAACAACTCGATAGTCAGAGTTCGGACATCGCTTAATGTTCATAGGTAGACCATTTTTTTTAACGAAAACAATCATATTATACTGTCGGCTTTCGCGGCATTAACACCTACAGTAGTGTCAAGTTTTGGTGGCGTCACAGAATAAATAATTTGTTCATGCTACATTTTTGCCAAAAACTACTAGTGGTAGTAGTTTTTGGCAAAAATGTAGCATGAACAAACCTACAATTCACCTAAAGGTGGATGCCTTATGCAGTCTGAAGTGAAATTAAAGCAAAAATATTGCAAACAACATCTGGGAGCTAAGATAGAATGCCTAAAAGCTGTGCTGCTCTTCTGGCTCTTTATACTCTTTATATCAAAACACATCAGTGCAGCAGGTAGACTGTAAATTTGTTAGTCTGTTCAGGTTTTTTTAGAAATGAAAAAACCACTGCAAACAAACCGCTGTAATTTTTTTTTAATTTAATTTATCGATTTAGTTTATATGCTCTGTTTCTTCTAGATGAGATATTACATTAACGATCACAGTCTAATATTTAAAACTTGTCGCAAGAATTTTGAATATGATGATTCTGAATATGATTAAATACTTGCTTTCTTAATAACTTTTAAATCTAGACAACAAATTATGGCGACATCAGGTTGGACTAAAAAAAAATCAGCATTAAGTATAATATTAAACGTAATCTATAAAGAATAAAGTAAAGTATAAAGCTTATCAAAAGACAAAAGGTCATACTTAGGTCTCCCTCATAAATTGCCTGCAATAGACACTCTATATTTGGCATAGTTACCAGGTTGCCACGCATGGCAAACAGGCGACATGGACATGGAACATGGCAAATATCGATTAAATAAAAACATTTTACACCGTTGCAAAACTGTAGAAAGGAGATGAACTTGATTCCATACAAGTTTGGGACCGGCGTGAACAAAGTTCATATATGTCTTATTTTGAAGATTTAAATATTTCATAAGTATGTCAATAAATCATAATCTTGCAGAACCTGGGGATTTATTTTAATTTATCTTTTATTATTTGTAGGTTATATAGTAAAATCCCTCGTTCTCGTGATAAGTTGTTTAAATCAATTGAAAATCAAAACAAAATAATGCAGTTTTGTTGACATTATTAAAGGAGGTAAAATAAAACTCAACCTATTAAATTTCTTTCTACAATTAACTATAAAACGTCATCGACTGTCCATTTGTTGAGCTGTGGTCAAAATCTATAAAAACGAAGATCCTGAATGAAATGAAGACATGGCTTAAAAGACAAGCGCCCAAGCCAAAATTCTTAATTTAAAAAAAACGTTTCGTTTTTGCTGTAGAAAATTTTTCAGTTTAAAAAAATGTTTTATGATTTTCCCAAGCACAACCGAAATAAAAACCATTTAATTATGATTATAATTTATCGTTTTATGACCTACATATTTTTGTATAACTGTTCGGAACGATGTCAGGCACCCTATTCCGTTCATCTCCTTTTTTAATTTTATTGCATAAATAAGAGTTTTTTTTTCAATAAGTAGTTTATTTATTAGATGATAGGGCTGCTTATCTGTCTAGAAGTTCAAATGGGTTGATACCCTCTTATCTTTTAAAAGTTTGAAGGCCAAGAACGCTAGTATGATTATAGCCAGTGAAGTATTTCATCTTAAGGAAATAACATCGCTCAAATCCCAAAAACATCCTAGGTTTCAAGTTTGTGTATGTATCTCAGTGGCGGTGACGTGTCACACGACCATTTTTGTTTGAAGTTAGTTTTGGACGTCGACGATGGTTTAGTAGCTACTTTCCATCACATAAACTGTCAGATCGATTGTTTTATGTTATTAAGAAAATAAATAAATTACTGTCTCAAAGTCTCCTACAAATCAAGTGTGGATGAGGTAGTCATCTAAACAGCGTTTGCAATTGATCAGCATTTCGCAAACATTAATTTAATATTTTGATGAGCCATGCTGCAGTTATATTAGTAGAATAGTTGTACCACGAATGGGTCGGCTCGACCGGGGAAGGACCACACTCTCACAGAATACCAGCGTAATATAGTAGCTTAATGCTGCTGTGTTTCGTATGGTGAGTATAGAGAACCGGATCCCCTTCTAACTGAAAATAAGGCATTCCATCTAAGTCCTCACGCGTGACAACGCATCTACATTTTGATTCGTAATAGAGGATACATGTAGGTTTCTATGGGCCACAGCAATCACTTACCATCAGGTGGACTAAGTGCTCGTTTGTCACCCTATCCTATAAAAAAAAAGTTATATCAACTTATCTACCCAAAATAAACGATTTTTTCTATCCACCTGTGTTAGGAGAGTTATTGCAATAATATTGTTGCTTTCAAAACCCATATCGTAACGGTATCTTGTATATTAAGGATCCGACGCAACCAACACTGATAATAAAAAGCATCCGTCTAGAACCGGCAGCTGCCTGGGGAAACGATTTGTAATGACTACTGAATACAACATGTGGCCTCAGAAGAAAAATCTGAGTCGTGAGTCTTATAAAATTCAAAAAATCATGTGGTATCTGACTGATAGTTCGGGGCTAAGTTCAATGTCTACAGCGATACGTATTTGACACATAGCTGGTTGGCAGCCAGTTATAAAGAAATCATATTTTATTTGCTTAAATTAAAGTACATAATAATACAAAAAATATTTCTATTATCATATTTAATTACTTTTGTTTTCGTTATATTATTTTCTTTAAAATTCTTATCATCAGAGTGACACGTCTAGATGGTTTTATCGTATTGTTTACGGTACACTTTCAATCAGTAGCTTAATAAAGTTGCTTAAAGATGGACGTCACTATTTTTGGTATAGTTAATAATTCGCTTCTTCTGTTAACAAGTATTTGTATTATTCTAATATGCTGGTTTTACCATCGTAATTACAACTACTGGAGGGATCGTAGAATCCCTTACGAGAAGCCTTTCCTTTTCTTTGGAAATCTGAAATTTATTATGAGAAGGAGTTTTTGGGACTTTTGTTATGAATTAAAAAATAAACATCCTCGTGATTATGTAGGAATATTTTTAGCCTGGAAACCAGCTTTGATGTTGCAGACACCTGAATTAGCAAGGAGGATACTTGTTAAAGACTTTGAATATTTCCCAGATCGATATTTGTATTCGGGATCATCCGATCCATTGGGTTCGTTGAACTTGTTTACAGTAAAGGTAAGTGCCCAAAATAATTAGGATTTAAATATTTTTCCAGTTATAATTTGAAACAAATATTTATTATTCTATATTTAAGAACCCACTTTGGTCAGCGATGCGACATGAACTTTCACCTATGTTTACTGCGTCCCGGCTAAAAGTGATTACAGAACTAATGAATATGAATGCCAAGGAACTGGTGTTAAAAATCCGTCGTGATTATATTAACAACAATAAGCATGTTAACTTAAAGGTACGTTGTGCTTAAACATACAAAAATGCGATTTAAGCGACAGTAGCCTAATGGCAGGGCGCGGACCGCGAACTCAAAAGGTCGTGGGTTCGAATCCACCATTCGACTACTGTCGTGAACCACCCCTAACACAAGCATTATCAGCTTACCAGGAGGGGTTAAAGGGAATATTAGTAATTTTAATTAATAGGATTACTAATATAAAAAAAAAACAAAAAAAATATTTATATTGGTTTTTGAATTCTTTAAAATATTGTTTTCAAATGATTATTATTAATAATCTTAATTATTATTTTGAAGGAATTATTTTCAATGTATACTTCCGACACAGTGGCATACAGTGTTTTTGGTATAAGGGTCAGTGTCCTGAAAGATCAGGATTCACCATTGTGGTATATAACTAATCATATGGTCAAATTTACTTTCTGGCGTGGTTTTGAATTTACCTTGATATTTTTTGTTCCTGCTCTTGCTTCTCTATTAAGGTAAGCAAATTTTATTAATTTCTAATTAATATTATGGTATATCGATATTATTTTTTTAATATTACAAGCTTCATATTAACTTGATTTCTTCGCATGTCTTTCCGATTCAAAATTGGTTTATAAAAGTACTAACAGGCGTTTGATATAGTTGAAATTAGGCATACAATGTACCTGATCTAATGATAGACCAGAACGCTATACCCAGCTGCACCTATAAAATCTTTTTTTTAAATAAAATTAGTTAAATATTATAATCACATTGTTTGGCAGATGGTTCGATAACAGCGATGTGCTTTTAAAATATTTGTAGAATCCCAACGCTGGAAAACTTCCTAAACTTCTTTATAAAAATAGCGGTGATAAATCATTTAATATAACATCGATTGCAGATCTGCTACAGTCTATCAAAGTCCACTGCTGAACATATCCTTCCTCCATAGATTGTTTCATTGGGGGGTATTTGCCACAGTTGCCATGTTTGGCAAGCGGTTGGCAAACTGCAGTTTTCAAGTTGTTATTAGGAAGACGCTGCTTCTCATCTCGTGATTTGTTTTCGCCCTATCGCACATCATATATATATATATATATTACATATATATATATATATATATATATATATATATTCATATCTGGGAAGGAATATAATATACATATTCAGTTATGTATGTAGTATGTACAGTCACATTATAGTGTAAGTGTGTAAGTTGAATGATGATTTGATAGAATCATATAACATAAATCATATATCATATATAAAAATCATATAAAATTTTATACGTGGTAGAGTCATGCTGCAGTTATATTAGTAGTATAGTTGTAGCATGAATGGGTCGGCTCGACCGGGGAAGGACCACACTCTCACAGAATACCAGCGTAAAATAGTAGCTTAATGCTGCTGTGTTTCGTAATGTGAGTGTAGAGAGCCGGAGACTCTTTTAAATGGAAACGAGGCATTCCATCTTAGTCCTCGCGGGTGGCAACGCTTCTGGATTTGGATTCGTAATCGAGGATAGATGTAGATGTCTATGGGCCACAGCAACCACTTACCATCAGGTAGATTGTGTACTCGTTTGTCACCCTACCCTATAAAAATAAACTTTAAAGTCTCAATGGACTGGTCATATGGCTAGAAGAATCGACAACGGATAAAGTGTTTAAGTGACACCTTCGCAGGAGATACAGGAAACTTAATGGATGCAGGTGACTCAGGACCGTGATTTGTGAAACTCTGACGTCCTTGAGGTTGTTCATAATTATATATATATATATATATATATATATATATATATATATATATATATATAATTACTAACTTGCCAGGCAGACGTTGTTCTGCCCTTTTCGACGACCCTTTGTCATGTGCTATTAAAAACTCTGAAATTCGCAAAAAAAATTTTGGGTCACTCACGGCCAAAAAAACTATCCTATCTCTCAAGTTGGATCAAACTGCACACGGTGTGCAAATTTGTTTAAAATCGGTTAAGTAGTTTAGGAGTCCATCGCGGACAATTAACGTGACACGTAATTGTTATATATTATATAAAAATTACGTGTCACGTTAATTATTTATTATTTATTAATTAATATATACAATATGTAACGTAATTAACGCACACCCTCAGACACCCCAATTAGTATATTATGTTATAATCATAATACATTCATTGAATTTTTATTTTTATGCACTGATTATTGATCAAATTAGTTATACAAATTCCGGAAGAATCTTGTAGTCACAGTACAAATCCACGAACTCAAAGACTTTAACGTTCTTGAAATAAAGTTCATTTTTCTTTATTTTTATTGAATGACAGAATTAGTAATAATATAAATAAAACTGCACTCTTAAAAGTCTTATTGCCTTAAGTTACGGTCCATTTCAGTTTGTTTTGACTGTACAGATTTATTGTGACTGTAATTTATGTAGTTTTGGGATAAAAAATTACCTATATTAAAAATGATAGGAATCGATTCAGTAAACAACTCTGAACAAACTACTTTCTCAAAGTGCGTTAATTATGTTACATGTTGTATGTATATATATAAGAGGCAGCAATATATGTGCGAAACAACTGACACTGCGATCAATCAATCCAATCCACCTGTCAATCAAAAAAAAATTAAACAAATTCTTCTTACAACAGGAGGGGCCTACGTTTTCCGTGGAATTTTTGTGACCTATAAAAATACGAATTAGCCTTACAGTAGTCGCTTATGATGTGTAACATCTGACATCACGCATTATCCCTAAAAAAATATATTATTTTAAATTAAAATAAAATTTTTCAATTTAGCAGCGACAGAAATTAACTTAAAATTAATAAAAGCCATATAAAGAAATATTTATTCGAATAATTATTTATTATTGCTCATTTGCATTTTTTACCAATGATACGAAAAGATGCACTTTTTTCAGACCCTATCAACAGTAAATACATATGTTACTAAAGTTTACATGTATAAATTAGTTTATATAACAGCACCTTTTACTACCACCGAGCGCGTTTATTTGTCATATCAAATAGCGCGCGCTTCCCCGGTTTCCTGTTAAACACTCGTGTTCCTTTTCATGAAATCACTCCCACGGATTGCTGGAACGCAAGAAGAAAGATGTAACACATCAAAAAAACAAGAAGCACAATTCTTTTTAACATGCAAAATAATCAATTATACATGTATGATGTGTATTAATCTTAATAAATTATTTACAGGTTAAAATTTTTCTCTCGGGTCGCCACTGATTACATCACGAAAATATTTTGGAGCGTCGCTAAAGGACGTGAAAAAAATCAAACGTCTAATTACAAAGATCTCATTGAGCATCTGCTTAAATTAAAAGAAAATTTAAAATTACCAGCTGAATCGGGTTCGGGTAAATATAGATAAATTTTGGATTTCCTAGCTTACAACCAAGCTTTTTATTATTTTGACTGATAATATCAGGATCGTACTGCTGCTCATCTCCTGCTTCATGTCTTTCAAGTCTTACGACACCCATAGGATCATATCCAGGGTAATGGATTCCACTACGAGTACACGCTTAAATGTTATTAACAATATATATATATATATATATATATATATATATATATATATATATATATATATATATATATATATATATATATAGCTCGAAGAACCGACAACCATTGGGGAAAAAAGGTTCTCGAGTAGCAGCCTCGTACCTGTAGGCGAAGTGTAGGGCGACCCCCCACTAGATGGAGTGACGACCTGGTAGGACATGCAGGAAGTCGATGGATGCAGATGGCTCAGGACCGTGCGTTTTGGCATACCTTGGGGGAGGCCTATGTTCAGCAGTGGACTTGTGAAGGGCTGTAATGATGATGATGATGATGATATATATTAAATGTAATTTCAGAATTGGCTGATAATTTAATGCTGGCTCAAGCAGCTGTATTTATTTTGGGCTCAATTGAAACGTCATCAACTGTTCTGAGTTTCTGTCTTCATGAACTTGCACATCATCCGAAAGAGCAAGTAAGTATTTTAAAACCTTTTACTTATGTACTACTAACTATGTAAATAACTTAAAATATTTTGTAAAAGTGTAATAACACATCACATTTCTTTGCATACGTAAGATTTCGTTAACATTAACCGATTTATTCACTCATGTACTTACATCATGATATAGGGCTAGTAGTTATGATCTTTTTAAAAAAACCTTAAACCTTCACTAGCTTTAAGTACTGGCATTCTGTATCGTTGAAAATTGGATAGTGAATAAGTAAAACATTTACGTCAATTCGCTTATTATGGATTATCTTTATAAAATGGAAATGTATTGAGACTATAATATATTGTAAATGTTGTAGGAGAAGCTCCACAACGAAGTCATTACAGCAATGCAAAGATCTGGAAAGGACGTTTTAAATTATGACGAATTAATAGAATTGAAATATCTTTCGTCGTGTATTGCCGGTATGCTATTTATAATATAACGCATATTAATAATAAATTATAAAATACGGAAATAAAAATCAGTTTTAAGAATAAAATCTAATGTTTTTACCATTATTTATTTTTAGAAACCATGCGCAAGTATCCACCGGTTTCATTTTTGGACAGGATTTGCAATAAAACTTACAAATTAAATGACGAAGTTACAATTGAAAAAGGAACGCCTGTGTTCATAAATGTCTTAGCCATTCATTATGATGACAAAATCTATCCAGAACCTGAACAATGGCGTCCAGAGAGAATGAAATGTTCGGGTGACAGTGATAACCTTAATTTCACTTATTTGCCATTTGGCGAAGGACCTCGGTTTTGTATAGGTAAGGAAAATACTAAAAAACATATCCGCAATATAAAATAAAATGTGTTTTGGGCCAATGGTGATGTTTGTCGAATTTGTCAATGGTGATGTTTGTCGAATTTGTCAAATTCCCCAGGTGAAGCGCAAAAAAGTTGCAACTTACTTTTTTCAGTGACCGTGATATGTTATATTAAAAATAGATCTGTCCTTGCATCCAGACTAATCTAATCTTTTAGCAAAGGTAAATTTTGCTATCTTTCGTTACAACTTTTTTGTTATATCGTGAAGATAGGATTATATAATGTATTACTTGTGGTAAATTGACACTACTGCATTATTAAAATATTAATAATAATGCATTAAAAAATGAAAATAAGTTAGAGCATGTAAATGTCACACTGTTGTAAAGAGACTTCCGTGCTCTTCTACTTACCGCGTTGCTCTAGCAATTTACAATAGATTATTCAGATAGGTTAGAACAACAAATGCTGGTTCGGCTTTAATGGTAATTTTACACTATATAGGAAATTCTTCACTTTATAGTAATAATGGGACGCGTTATTTAGAAATCCCTATAGATAAAATCAAGCCCGTTGTTATAACAAACAAAATGAAGTAAATTAATTTGTTTTTACAGGTAAACGCTACGGTATGATGCAAGTTCGCTCCGCTCTAGCTCAGATAATAGCTGCATACGAAATAAAGCCCGCTAATATACCTTATAAAGTTGAAACAGATCCTTACAGTGTTATAATGGCACCCAAAGATGGTTTAAGCGTAAAGTTCGTGGCTAGATAAAATGACATGAAATATTTTTGAATATATAAATTCGAAGCATTTTTTGTTTTATATTACAAGTACTTGTTTTAAATTATATCGAGTATGTACCACCTTTTTAAACTTTAGCGGCGCTGTCGTTGCGCTTCAAGTGAAACCACTGACCTCTATAAATACAAGTACGCTGGACTGGCTATACTCCGTGACATGATGAGGCGATTTGATTTGCGCCATTTTGGCGCTGACAGCAGAAGTAAAATGGAATTAATAATAGGGATAAGACAGTGTGACAAAATATATCGATAAAAATCCCATAAACTACCTATACCTAACTAAATATAATGGACGTTTCTATCCGTGACGTCCATTCGATTTATGTATCATATTAATATAATGCTATCATCATTACAGCCCTTCACAAGTCCACTGCTGAACATAGTTCTCCCCCAAGAAATGCCAGAAAGCACGAACCTGAGCCACCTGCATCCATCAACTTCCTGCATGTCTTATCAGGTCTTCACTCCATCTAGTGGAGAGCCGCTCTATACTTCGTCTACAAGCACAAAACTGTCACTCACACAGCATCGTTAATTAATTTTCTTTTCTTTAATTCAATAATTACATTTCTTAACAAGTGATTCTTACCTTTATTCGTTTTGCATGTTGCGACAGAACTTTTACACGAGCTCGGTTATCTAGGGGAGTATTCATAACGATGCTTGATATTATCACAGGATTCAGAAATAGACCAAACCTTCTTTGAAGTGACAGTCTGTTCCCGGTAGCAACTTGTGTTCCGACCTATATACCAAATTTATATTGGTAAATAAACATTACACAACAATCAAAAAAACTACAGATCACGTTTGCCACGGTTTGCTACTAATATAAAAGAAAGGAACAATCAAGATACCAACATAAAAAAGAAGAATCTCTTCCCAGGATCCCAATCTCGGGCAGCTACATGTATTCTGGACATTCTGTAACAGTAGACCTCCAGCCTGATTATTATAAGAGAATACACTCGACCCAGTGGCGGCCCAAGCAAAATTTTTAGGTGGTGCCAGATCTCATAGTCACGCCTCTCTAAATACAAAACCTTAGTGATCCTACACTATGCAGTTACTATTTCGTGATTTTAAATAGAATTATTAGACTTATCAAATATCTACAGGTGGATATGCGGGGCAAGCACAGTTGTGTCCGTCGCTATTGCCGTGTCAGTTGTTCTGCTTGTTCGCGTTATGACGACTCCACATTATCGCCGGGAATTCACGCGCAAGTTCACGCCACAAGTCGTGCCCTCCACATTCAAGGGATGCTCACAATCGTTTGTGAAACCCGCCGCGAAACGGACGTAGAAGCTGCTGCTGCAATAATTTTATTTTCTGTGGCAACATATCACTATTTAGACATCCAAAACAAGAAATTCATTGAAAGCGTTGAAAGAAAAGAAGATGCGATATTCGTCCACTGTACAGTGGACGCATAATATCTGAGACCATGCATAAGACCCGTATTTTCTTAATTGAGTCGACCATGAATCTCAATTTTTTAGGAAAGCAAGCTCAGGCTAGCCCTCGCCTCCTGGTCTAAAGACCAAGGGGCGTTAGGCCCAGAAGTGCATTAGGAGCTGCTCCAGGCGATGATCGCATCGCTACAGTTGTCATTAAGTAGGCAGTCCTTTGTAGACTATTTAGTCTGTCCGCAGTCATCTTTTGGTTGGCCTTATTACAACAGACAAAAGAGGCATAGATGATAATTGCCCTCACTATGCTGCTGTACAGACATAGTATTGGCGGCGCCCGTAAACACGAGAATTCATCATTTCTAATATACTTTATAAATAATATAACTTCTACATTTCTTGATTGTTTCATTCATTTTCGATAGTACAATCAATACATGACAAATTTATTGTTCAAAATAAATTTACTTTATCAGATTAAATACTTTGTAAGTCATCTGTGAAAACTTAGATAACCACATACTATGAAAATGCATTTCAATGAAGCATGTAAATACGTGATAAAATGCTTATCTTTTTAACGAAAGAGTATATAATATATCACATTTTATTGAGCTTAATCACATGGGATTAACTAAAACTTAAAAAGTCTTTTTTATAGTCTTTAGCCACAAATATACGAATTTATACACTATCACTATGGATAATTAGGACAATGCCAGTTCTAAGGGTTTCTTTAGAGACTGAATGTTAGAGTAAGGAATAGGTCAAGTACTGACCACAATTTTTAGTCCAATGAGTGCAGACTGGATGAGGGCCAGTCTTCAGCTCTAATGAAGACCGGAACATTGTTCTTGAGATAGGTTTGACCAGTTTTTCTCTTGTAAACAGGAGCAGAATCTTGCTAGAAAAGGTACGGTACACTTTTGAAAAGTGTACTATTGAGAGCCTTCACTGCGCCATCCAAGACAATCTCTTCATAAACTTTGGCTGAAGTATTTTCTCTTTTTTCACAAAATTAAAGCTTCGCACTCCTTGGTAACTCCCACTAAACCATCATTGATGCAGAATGATGACACCATTGAAATATTCCGACAACTTTTGAGGTTTCTTAAGAGATGTGAGCATACACTTTGTCATTTTGATTGTTATAGTGCATTACAGTCTAATTTTTTGAATCTTTAAAAGAAGTGTTCCACCAGCGTATTGGGACTGCAAGCAGTATTTTGATAATTTTGATATCGATGGTTTGTGGATGTCTATTGGTAACAGTCAGCTTGTTTTATACACGCTTGATAAAAGTGCTTAACAACCTTTTTCCGGGCGTGAATAAGACCCACGAATGTAACGGTTGGGTCATGTCTGTCCTTATGTTTACCATTAGCATATTAAGGTGGACCCAAATTGAACTTAACACTCCATTCTGTTGTTCGGCTCTTTCTAACTCTGATTATTTGTACAGACACAATCTTGTAGCCAGAATTCTACACTAAAAGCTCGCTCTAAAATATGGTCTCGTGGATCGTAAACTGCCTTAATATAAGCGTTTTCCGGAAGCCGTGCTCGAAGACGACCGTGCCTCCATCACATCTTTACTGGGACCGGGCCATCATTACAGATAGGACTCTTCTTAAGAATAAACCTGATATGCGTTTTGATAGACTGGGCACAGTCAAGGATAGTTTTGGTGGACATTGCCATTCCGTATGACGAGAACCTCGTGAAAGCTGAAACATAAAATGAAGAAGCTCTGATACTGCGATAAGTACAAATGGAGAATAAACTATCCTTTTAGTTTAAGGGAAAATTATTTTTGTCAGTGACAAGTTAACGGATAAGGGATAATGAGATAATGCGCTTAACATTTTTAACCGTTATCAATTTGATAATATTTTTCTATTTTTATTTACGTTACCATGTAACGCAATATTTTTCCGCGATTTGTTTTCGTTGATTTTGTTATCAAAAGAAGATTATTTTAAAGTGCCTAGTAATATACAAATTTTAAACAGAATCGATGATTGTTAAAATCGATTTTTGATCAACCTAATTAGGTTTTACTTAAGCTTAAAGTGTTACATAAGTTAAGCAAACTTAAGTTAAAATAATCGGTCGACTAGGATATATATTTAGGGAGGTTACCAGGATTTAAAAAAATATGTTACGAAAAATTGTCTCCTTTCACAGGAAACAGGCCAATATCAAATTTATAGATAATAAAAGTAAGTGCCAAATAAGTTTTCTTTGCACGTACCAGACAACCGTGAATTTTTTACACTTACAAGGAACTTCATCACATCTAAGCTTTTGTAAAAATATTTTTTCGTTGCATCTAAGCGTTGCGAAATAAAATATCGTATTAAAATATAAGCACTATCATTGATTTCGCAAATCAAAGTGTATCAAATCAAGTTTCAGTTCGCAAATCGAAACAAGTTCCATTTCCTTTTCTAAAGTGTTATGATTCTGTTTATCCACAACTGATAAAAATTATTATAATATAAAATTACTGAAACAGAATACTAAATTATAAATTCAATTCAATTGATTTTCAGAGTAGATTATATAAATGAAAAAAAAACGAATATTGCGAGTAGCACTCGTGCCATAAGTGTTAAGTATTTACTTTATTATGTATGTAGATAATTCATCCATTATATTCTGGTAACAGATAATTTTTCTAGGCGTTCATATGTCTACACATACACGCTCGTCGGTTAAGGGTACTTCTAAAGTGGCCCATTTTCAAAATATCGCCAATTTGATCAATAAACTTTCTTTTAAGGTTGCCCTAGTCGATGGCACGAACTAAGTGGTGGGCGGGGCAAAAATGCATGCTATCTCAGCCGACATCTCGTGCAAAAGTGATAGACGCTGTGATGAGCAGTAAGAAGCTAGTGCGCACACACATACGCACTCGAGTGACGCAATGCGCGACGGCATCATCGCGTACCTAGGTACCTATGCGATTAATTTTAGTTTTAGAATAATAACATAAACTCAAACGGCAATTGTGAGCTTCGTGCCGCAATAGCTTAGCAATGAGTAGCTGCGTTGGGTGCCGCGGGTTCGAATCCCCACGGAACAAATATTTTGTATGGACTACAAATAGTTGTTCTGGGTCTGGATGTTTGTTCTTGTGCAATTTATATTTGTAAACCACCTCCACGATACTGGAGAAAATCCTACTGTGGGGATAACGTATTTTAAAAAGAGAAAGGAGAGAGAAAGCAAATTGGTGCTATTGTAACTTAGGATCTGCTGTGTGAAACGTAATTATTATGAACCCAATTTATGTACCTAGTTGTTATAATGAAAGTTCTTATGTGAACTTAAGTAGATGTTGTTATTATATAATAATTCCATTGATTTGTTTTTACCTACTTTTTAACCGACTTCGAAAAAAGGAGGTGGTTCTCAATTCGTTGGTTTTTGTTTATGTATGTTCTGTCCCCCGATTTCTCGAATATGCCTGAACCGATTTGGAAAATTATTTTTTTTTGTTTGAAAGGATATATTTTCCAGATAATCCCACGGTAATCGATGATGATCA